AAGAGGGGATGCTGCCTCACTCACGTTCAACACTATTTGACCCAAAAAAAATTTTTTTTTTTGCCGCAGAGGAGCTAGTTCATTGTGCGCCCCATGTCCATCCTTTTTGGGGGGTACGGAAGGGGAAACATTTGGATACACAAAAGGCCTAGGAAAATAGGCCACAAAAGAAACCCAGGAATTTGGCCCCCCAAAAGGGTTAATATGATTTTCATTTGGGGTTTATATCTACATTTTTTTTTTATCTTTTACAAGCAAATTTAAGAAATTTTGCTTAGTGTATCTGGTTTGGGGGGCAAAAAAAGGGCCCAGTAACTAGCGCCTACAAAATGAACTTCCGTTGGGGATAAACATTGAATAATTTAAAAAAATTTAAAATTTTCAAATTTTTCGTTTTGCAAACACCCCCTGAACACTGTAACAAAAAAAAAACAAATAACCCAAAAAACCCCCAAAAAGGAGAAAAAAAAATTTAAAGGGCCAATTTAAATATTACACAGAGGGTTTCTATCAATGGTCCCAAAAGGTTAAGTCGGGCCTGAACGTCGACATAAAATTTCCCTTTTTTTTATGTGCTTGTTATTGTTCCAGCACGGGTGTTTGTCTGTTTTATAGTGAAGAACAGGCTAAGTAACTAAATTTTTTTTGGCAAAACCTCTTTAAATGGGGAAAAAAACATTTTCTAACCAGCCAATTAAAAAAGACCAACCCCCCCCCAAACTTTTCAAAATTAAGGTACTAACCAAACAAATAAATTTCCACTTCTATTAGTTTTTTAAAAACTAAACGGAAAAACAAAAACTTACACATTTTACTTTAAACCCTTTAAAAACACCCTTTTTACAACGTTACAAAATTTTCCCCCCGGCTCGGTTAAAAAGTTAATAAAAAACAAATTATCTGAAAGAAATAAATTTGCAAAATTAAATTTACTCATTTAAAAGCTTCCCTCTTTTCTTACGTCCCCCTGTAACCATTTTGGACATAAGGTTTTTGGGGAAAAAACCCGTTTAAATTTTTGCACTGCAGTGATGAAAGTTTATATCAGGACGTTGCATTAATGGTTTTTTACCATGAGTGTTAGCATTAATGTTTATAAACCCAAAAGTGTTAGCATTTAAAGTTTAAAACCAGCAGTGTTAGCATTAATGTTTTTTAAACCAGGAGTGTGAGCATTAATTTTTATACCACATGTTTGCCTTTAAAGTTTATACCATTTAACCTACTTCCTTTTAAATGCCCCCTTTATTTTCCCCCCTCTTTTCTTTCCTTTGCTTTCCCAACCCCCCGGGTTTATAAAAAATCTAACAGGTTTCTAATAAAGGATTTAAACCCTCTCAAAAACCATGTGGCTGTCGTTTAAGAAGCTTTAAACCCTTTCCCGGTGCTTTATCACTCTTCTTTAAAACAAACCATTTTAACCCTTTTCATTTTTTGGGAAGTCATGTCACTTGGGGCCTTTTTAAAAATTGGAACTTAAAATTTTTTTGTTTTTTCAAATTTTTATCAATGATACAGAAATATCGTATGATGGGATGTCAAACTTTAAAAAATTTGTTCACCTCCCTTCTCATTCATGGGAATTTCCATTTTGTTGCTTTTGATTGCTTCCCTTCTTTCCAAAACCTTTACCCTCAATATTTTTTTTCATGGGTTTTTGAGGGTTTTTGGGTTTTTTTCATTCCCCCAAAAGGGTGATTAAACTATTTCACTCTCCCCTATTTCTTTTCCAAAGTTTTTTCTTTTTTCTGGAAATGAATTTTCTTCCCCTACTTCGCGGCCACCCTTTCCCGGTTTCATACTTCATTATTTCAACCGTTTTTCCTTTTCCCTTCCCAAATTTCCCTTTTCCCCCCTCACTTAAAAAGAGGGATTCCCCTCATTTCCTTTCGTAAATCCCCCTCTTTGGGGGTCAAATTTCCCTAAAACCCTTTTCTGAAATATTCCTCCCCCAAAGTTTACTTCCACAAAAGGGATTTGATAGTACGGACGTCTTGTATTCAACGTCCCCCTTTTGTAAGAGTCACTTAGGGTGAATACAAGGTCTAGCCATGCTGTGTGTGTGTGTTAAGGCACGTTTATGTGTGTGTTTATGTGCGCAAGGAGAAAAAAGTACGGTGGAAGCATACAAGAGTGTGTTTTGTATCTTACACGTACACATTGTATGGATAAGCAAGACACGTTTCCAACAGTTAAGTATCTTTATTTCCAAAAGTTTCCCCTAAACAGTAGACTTCTTCAATCGAATACAGAGGCGACAGCGGGAGCAGTGTTGATGTAAAGATGATGTAACCAGTCCATCACCCTCACTGCCTCTGTCATCTCCTTTGTATTCGACTGAAGAATCTACTGTGTATAGGCGTAACGTTTGGGAATAAAGATACTTACAATAACTGTATCAAAAGTGCCTTACTTATCTACTTGTCGGCACTGGACACCATTATCATGTTTACATGGTGTATGGGCGAGGGTGTGATGGGTGCGGGGAGTGATAACCCACAATAGTGTAGAGAGCGGCCGTGAGGGCGGCATGTTGGGCGTCAAAGCAGCTTCGTCCACCCACCCGCACCACCGGGGGAGCCAACCTGCATGAGAGACACAGTCACACACCGGACTCTGCTATTGTTAATGAGAGAGAGTACATGGGAAACAAATGTAACAGAGTTATTCAGCTGTTCGCAGCAAACAGAAATTCACTCGTAACGAAAGATGAGACACACCTGTGTATTTCAATCATTATATCTGTTTTTTTTCAGTGTTTTTATGTTTGGATTTGATGTATTTTCCGAATGTGAATCAAATATACATAACTCGCGTGTAGCTGACAGGGACAGGTCTTCCCTCATTACATCCTCTCTCCTTCCTCCATTACTGAGCTGACAGTTTTGTTTTAGAGAAAATAACGTACATTAGCAATGGGCTGCTGTTGTACTCTGATAGTTACGTAACGGACATAAAAGCTGGCTATGTTTCCCCTGTCACATTCCATCACACAGAATGGGTTACGTTCCACAGGAAATGAAATGTGTCAGCCTGAGCTAGGAGACTTCAGTGTAGAGATGAGGACATCGTCATGCACTCCACTTTGACTTTAGTACAAACAGCAACTTTAAAGTTTTCCCACCAGCAAAACTAGAGTTACTAATACTCGAGTCTTCGGAAATATAATACCTCACTATGGCCTACCCCCCGCGCAGGTTATGGATTGATGAACCGTTTATGCCCCTTTGGCCGGGGCTCGATTCCCGGTGAGGTTGAAAATTGGGCGTGTTACTTACACGGTGTCTATGTTCCAAAAACCATCAGTAAAATGGGTACCTCCGAGTTAGTGGACTGGTGTGGGTCGCATCCTGGGACAAAAATGACCTAATTTGCGGGAAATGCTCTGCATAACAAGCGGCTTTTTATATAGTAGTATGTCACTGAAATAAAGATATTATTGTAGAAATAAGGATTTTACTGTATTTTTATGTACCGTATACACTATATACTGTATATACTTATACAGTACTGTACCAACTGCTATATACTGTAATCATTGTTTACTACAGTCACTCCACGAACACCAGCCAGAACAGGTGAGAGTGAGTCGCTTCAGTCATGATGTCTAAATTTAAGATAACACAAAGTTGGACAGGACTAAATTACGTTTCATTACCCATATGTTAGTACCGCTAGACTATGACGCTCAAGAATGAAAATCTGGACACCATTTCTTATGGCGAGTGAGTCGTAAAACTCAGAGGTCAGTGCGTTAACCACTGGGCCAGCTGGCTCTAATAAGAGTCGTCTAACTAGGTATATTTTTATACACAACTGGGAAGTTAGCATGGGCCACTACTGTGACCACAAATGCAGGTTTTAACAGATGAATCCCACTAGCGTGACTGTGGTGGACTCAAGCTATAAGGTCCCCCAAAAGCCACCAATCGTGCATACGTTGTAAAAACCCATCCGTTCCATGGTCTGTTTGCAGTCGTGTTATTATGGATTTCGCGAATCATGATGAACGGCTTTGATGGGGTTTGAGCTGAGTTCATCACAGATACGTTGTGTGGGATTTCGTCTGTAGAACCAGATCTGTGGTCAGTCGGTGGCACTATGATGTATAGATATATACATAGGTTAGATGAATCTTATTAGAGACAGCTGGCCAGTGGTTAGCGCACTGGCCTGATGAGTGTTACGACTCACTCGCATGGTTTCAAACCCACCCGTTCCCTGATTTCTTGGCTTAATGATTGTTTCATCTCTTCCTGCACTCACTGGTATTAGAGTGGTTTGTAAACTAGCAGATAAGCTTAATATTTTCAAACTTAGAGCGAAACGATGTTCGATGTTAGCAGGTTCGAGCAGCTTCTGACCTTGAAATAAATGTCTGTAACGTATGAAGTTCAGTCATGAAGTGGACAGTCATAGTTGTTGTACAGTCTGAAGTGGACAGTCATTAATTGTACTACAGTCATGAAGGGGACAGTCATAATTGTACTACAGTAATGAAGTGGGACAGTCATAGTTGTAGTAAGTCATGAAGTGGGACAGTCATAGTTGTAGCCTTTCAGCAAATGACCGTTACTAGAAACTAGAGATTACAATAGAACAATAATTTAGAGTAAAAATGTTCTTGAAATGATAAAATTTAATGAGCAGTTCATGTATATCAAAAAAGTGTGAATCACCCAAGATCAGGTGGAAATCCAGAAAAATTAAGAACGAAAGATGGGATGTCAGAAGCCAATGTTCATTAAGGTTAGGCGGCGCTGCCTTCAGGTCTAAGGTCTTTCTCATTTCACAAACTTCAACTCGTTAAAAAAATGCAAATATTAATTTAATATCATCAACAATGCCACTTACCATACCCACCAACACACCCTTCTCTTCCACCACCGTAATGGACAGATCTGCTATCACATCATCAAATCCTCTACCATAAGGCAAATCTACACCACCCTCCACACCAGCACTGGACATCCAGCCCAGCCTTGGGAATCATATTTACTATCCCACTACTAACACCACGCACCAGCAGACTGCAGCATCCACGTCCTCTCGAGGGGGCGCACAATGCTCGACCCGGAATCAAATGCTTCCTCCCTGCTGTAATGTCATGAATTGTGTGAGTCAGACGGCCAGCCCCTCTCTACCTTTTCATGTTCCTCTTCGCTCGCCGCCTTTCCCATCGCAACCCCATCCCCTTTCTCTCTAGCCCTTACTGGTCCCTCTGCCCTCTTACTCATATTCCTTCCTCATCAGGAATGGCACTGCCGCTGACCACCACACAACGCCACTGGCATATTTCCATATTTGGGAGTTTGCATGTGTCTAAAAGAGAGAGAGAGGGAGAGAGAGAGAGAGAGAGAGAGAGAGAGAGAGAGAGGAGAGAGAGAGGAGAGAGAGAGAGAGAGAGAGAGAAGTGAGAGAGAGAGAGAGAGAGAGAGTGAGAGAGAGAGAGAGAGAGAGAGAGAGAGCACTTACCAAAAGTATACATCTCTTCAGACGTAAGAAGCAAAAACGGAAGAAAATTAAAAGTTCAGTTCAAGGCCTCTGGTAAGTGAGGTCAAGTCGCGTGTGTTCTGATATTAGAGAGTTTGACAGTGGGTAAGCGAGACAATGCATCTACAGAAGCAAAGATAATACTTTGGACTCAGCTGAGGGGTCTCAGTAAAATTTGGCCTATTCAACGAACACAGCTTCTGAAGGTTGAAGGAACCCTTGCGACCCTATCGTGACAGAATAAGTGTTGCTAAGGATCATTAATGGAGAGTTCTTCTTTTGTAGTCCTTAAGACTATCGAGAACAAGAAGTGGTCAGTTTTACCAGTGTATGAAACACGACCAAGAAACGAAGTGTACTGAGTAGTGAGTTGCGTAAACAGCCAAAGTATCGGTGCTGGAAAACTATGACACTGAGTTCTTCGAGGTTTAACATCCAGACGGCGAATGTTGATGCTAGGAGTCTACAAATCAGATTGATATAAAACACAAAGTGCAAGTGTCTTACCAGAGAGAAAAATAAATCTTTAGAATGAGAGAAGGCAACGTTGATAAAAATTAGGAGGGATAGGCATGACGAAAGAAAGGAACTGTGATGAAATTAACTTTTAGAATCAAGAACTGATAATAACTTGTAGCGGTTATGGATGCAAAGGAAATAAAAATATTCTTAAAAGATGTTGCGTGCAGGAAAAATATTGAATATAAAGGCATGCAGGGGACAGTGGAAACTGTCACTGAATATAGTGGCTACATCAGGGAACTGATATTGATGGATGAAGCAAGAGTGCCAAGAAAGGACTGAGGAAGATTAGTGATGAGGTCAGAGAGCAAAGACATCTACACAGCGAAGCCAGAGAGAAGTTCGTGTGCTATAAACTTGGATGAAAAATAGTATCAGCGGTGGTAGCAGCAGAGTAATAACAAGGTTAGATTCTTACTTCTTCCTTCCTGATGATAAGTAAGACACTTGTGCAACAGTCAGGTTTCGCCCATACAGTAGGCTTCTTCAGTCGAGTACAAGGGAGGCAGCAGAAATAGTAGAGATGTAAAGGACGTTGTAATCAGTCAGTCACCCTTGAAGACGTAATCCATCACTTCATCTTTACATCTTTACTGCTTCTGCTGAAGAAGACTACTGTGTAGGTGAAACGTTTCGGAATAAAGATACCTAACTGTTGCACATGTGTCTTACTTATTAACCTGTCAGTATTGTATACCATTATCATTTTCTTCCTGTTAAATTTCCATGCAGATTACTCCAGCCTGAGATAATAATGCCACAGACAGCATCTGTGGCACCGCTACGGATAAGATCTGTAGCAGCGTTACAGAAAACAGTTTAGTGTTCTCAGCAAATAATCTTACAAATCAAAAAGTTTCTGTGTTATGTGTCTTTTTTTCCATAAACGTCTATGCATGGTTCCTCTCTCTCTTTATACTCTTCGTATGTAAAATTATTTATTTTATTCTTTTGGACGTCTCTCGAGAAAAGGTAAAGCCGATGTAGAAGCTTCACAAAGAGAAAATGAAAATCTCTGTGGTTCAGATACGAATTTCGGTGATTCAGTTACCTGTTTCCACTACACAAACTGTTGATTGTGTTCACTCTCCTCCCAGTTTCTCTCAAGAGTCAATATTACTTCACTAGGTTGCACTCTATATTTTCATTGAAGCTTGCATCACGAAATTAACCACTGTTCATTAGTACCTAATGTTGCGTACAGTAAGTATTCGCAAAGTTGTAACGAACTAGTTTTAACTGAGGTGCCAATTAATCTCATCTTCTGAACTCGCCCCATAGCCAGTTAAGACCGTATTGGCTTTTTTCCTGAGCGTCTTGTTATATTATTCTTACTTCTAAGTCATGTCGTAATCTATTCTAAGGTTGTGTATGAGGTGTCTTCAAACCAATTCGTCATCCAGAGCGTTCAACTTTTTTGATCACCTTAAAGCTAACTATTTTATTTGAAGTCTCTGGAGTCACAATATATCTATTGATCCTTTTATTTTTGAATGTTTTCCAAGCTTTCAAATTCTCTAATTATTATCTTGTACATCGTAATGATGTCTCCTCCGGTCCTCATTCACACTAATGTTATCAGGTTAGATTATTTTAGTTTATTTCATGTAAGATTTCCTCAGTTATGGCGGCGGGGGGGGGGGGGGGGGTGGGGGGGGGAGTGCTGAGGGGGGGGGGGGGGGGGGGGGGGGGAGGGGGAAACTGGTTGTGAACATGTCGTATGTTCTTAATGATGTACAATACCAACAAGGTGAAGAGTAAGACAGGTGTTCAGTATATGGGCATTATTATCACCGATAGATTTCGTCTGTCCAACAGGTTTCTTCAGACGAATATATGCAAATACATCACTAGCGACGGTAGAAGTAGCAGCAGTCAGTCCCTCAAGTCATGAGGAACTAACCACCACTTACCAAGGCTGACAGATGATCTGCCAAGACTTATATCCACAGTGCTATATTCACAGCCATAGTATTTTTAAATACATCTGAAAACACATTTAGCCATTCCTTTTACACATCAAAAAATTCTCATTCCTCACGGCACATTAGAACAGAGTTTGTCATTAAATGAACACATAATAATCCTTATTCGTTGCCCTAAAATATACAAAAAACTATGCGTAATCATGTTAATCTAACTTGGATATCGAAAAATATTTCTTAACAAACTTTTGAGGACATTTATTGAAAAAGTTTTCAAGTTTTTCCCACCTCGTGTGAGTTATCTTTCTTGAAGCTCAATTATCTTTACGTTATCGAAGAGTTAAATGATTAATTTTCTGAGCATTATATAATTATTTAAGAGATATACATCTTGATTTAAACTAAATTAAAAAATAATCTGATTTTTTTAACCAAACTAAAATGATCGAATGCCATTACCTCAGTGCTAGACATTGCTGGGTTACTCAGTGCCTGAAACATTGATGGGTTACCTCATTGCCTAGAACATTGCTGGGTTACCTCAGTGCCTAGAACATTGCTGGGTTACCTCAGTGCCTAGAACATTGCTGGGTTACCTCAGTGCCTAGAACATTGCTGGGTTACCTCAGTCCTAGAACATGCTGCGGTACCTCAGTGCCTAAGGAACATTGCTGGGTTACCTCAGTGCCTAGAACATTGCTGGGTTACCTCAGCTCACTAGAACATTGCTGGATTACCTCAGCTCACTAGAACATTGCTGGGTTACCTCAGCTCACTAGATCACTGCCGGGTTACCTCAGTGCCTAGAACACTGCTGGGTTACCTCAGCTCACTAGAACATTGCTGGGTTACCTCAGTGCCTAGAACATTGCGGGGTTACCTCAGCTCACTAGATCACTGCTGGGTTACCTCAGCTCACTAGAACACTGACAAGTTACCTGGGCACACCACAACACTGCTGGGTCGCCGTAACACTGTACATGTATGGTATACAATACCGACAAGATGAAGTATACAACACATCTGCAGCATCTGGGAATCTTTATTGTATACGTTTCGCCAAACGTCTACAATAAAGATGCCCAAATGTTGCAGATGTGCCAGCACAGTGTATCAGTGATGGAATATGCCGATATGTTACTGAAACAATATACGGTTTATGGCATTGTACTGAGAAGATGTTTTGCCAGTCAACGATTTTATAAATTTCCAGAGAGAAGTGTTAAAAGAAAGTGTATCTGTGAAGAATCGTGAGGTGACCTGTAATGATGTGTGCATAATATACCTTCTTCGCAGCCAAGTGAAAGCATCGAAGTTTAAAATTAGGTGAGCCAGTAGATTGACGTCTGTATTTTCCAAAATTAGGTGGGCCAGTACACTGACTTCAGTACTTCTCTATATAATTGTATGTAACAGCGTGTCACATCTGGCGAGAATATTGGGCAGTATTTGAGATTAGGAATGAAATGACTTGTATGTGACTGTGTTAGTCGTGGCGGTATGAGTAGATTTAAGGCACAGTTGATTCTGTTTTTCTGCTCCCTTGGTTACTAGTGTTGCTCTGTATAGTTCAGGTGTTCTTCGTGTCATCTCTATATCAAGCATCTCTGCTCAGGTTCCTAGAACTTCCACCTACGTAAAACTTGTCACATCCTCCACAGGGTATCATTTAGATGCCTCACCTCATTTCACATCTCTCCACTATACATGTATTAATTTTGTCCCATCTCTGAGAATTAATAAAGTTCCTATTGAAAGAAAAGTTTCTCAATAAAATACCATTAACCGCACATTGTGTCTAAGCACTTACTGATTGCTTCAAAACACCAAAATATACTCATTTCATCACTCAACTAAACAGCCATAACTCGCAGGTCTTACCTTAAGAAACCCATTGTGGTCTCAATTTCTCAGTCTCATCTTCATAGATCAGGGAATAGGAGCCGCAGCGATGAGCACCTGCAAGACGCGACCATCTCTCGCGGGACTTCTCACTGGACGCTTCTTACTGATGATGAATTTGATGGATAGATTTCAGGGTCATTCCAGGAAGAAGACACAGGATCGCATAGAAGCCGCTCCCACCAGTGGCACGCGACCAGATGCCCCAACCTTCTACAGGCAGTTAAGGGTGACTTGCCACCAGCTTCCCCTTGCTTCCTTCTTTCCTTCTGCCGGTTATAGTGGTGGTCCTCAAGTCTCCCTGATTTCCTTCCTCTACCAGTGGTTACAAAAGGTCTCAGACCTTCCCCGCTTTATATTAATAGTAGTGGCTGGCCTCAGTCTTTCCTGTATGCCTTCTACTAAGGGTAGTGGCTCGTCGCCAGCTTCCCCTGGCTGTCTTCTGCTCCTAGTAGTGGAGGACTGCAAGCCTCACTAGGTCTCTTCTACAGGTAATAATGATTGGCCTCAAGCTTCCCTGGATTTCTTATACTGATGTTAGTGATATGATCTTCAGCAGTAATGACTCACTCGTTCACTGCAAGGGATCGTTGACGTTGCATCACCCTCCTACTGGATCTCTCTGTTCTGCAAAAAGACACACGTGAGTGTTAGATAGGTGTCTCTTCGTATTGTTAAGAGCAAAATACGATTATTGGCTTCCCCCTACACACACAAAAGTCTGGAAAGTGATGTAGTGGAGGCAGGATCCATACATAGCTTTAAGAAGAAGTACGATAAAGCTCATGGACCAATGAAGAGGCTGGGCCAGGAGCTATGGATCGATCCATGCAACTACAATTAGGCAAGTACAATTAGGGGAGTACACACACACACACACACACACACACCACACATCAACATACAACACACAACCCACACAAACACACCACCATAACACCACACACACGGAGGCACACACAACCACACATACACCCATCACTACACCACATCAACCAAAACACTCACACCAAAACCACAACACTGTACCACAACCCATCAACACACCATCACACACCACACCACAACACCACACACAACACAAAAACAACACCACACACACACACGACACAATAAAACATACACACAACACAATTAAACAATACACACAACACACACGCGGGAAGACAATACGAAAATTTAAAGACAGACAACACTACTAGACACACACAAAACCCCAAACCAAACCACACACAAAAAAAATTTACAAACCAAAACACACACACACCCCCACACAACCCCAAAAAAAACAACACACACACACACACAACACACATACACACACAAAACACACCTCGAACGAAAATTACGGGAAAATGTTTAAAGACAGAACTAAACCGTCTTATAAAAAGTATATAAAAAAGTATAGGATGAACACAAAAAAAAAATTTCCAGATGTATACACACTACAACAAACCCGAACACTAGAACAGAAAACTGGAAGGAAATGCAGCCCCAAAAATACGAACTTTGTAACAACTGGAAAAATCGTGAAACTTGCTAATAGAATTGTACACAACAAAGGCAAAAGGTCACACACACACACACCCCACACACAAAAAACACACACACACACACACCACAGATACCACCATGGGCACTCAGGGAAGAAAACCACCCCTGAGTGATTTCAGTTTCCAAAAAATTTTGATAGATCGACGGAAACAAGGAAACTAGTAAAATACTTGAGACACAGCAACGTATTCAAAATATTCACTAAAATATACAGCAATGTTTAACTATAGAGACCAGTGAATGTGACAAATATCCCATGCAAAGTAAAGGGGAAAATAAGGTAAGAAACGAGTAAAATACGTAAAGATGCAAAACAATGTCGGACGAACTTATTGCAAACTTCTACGACCTGCCATCATGGCACCACTTCCCCCATCACTATTATCACATACATTTGAATCACCTCTTCCCCAGCCTAAAAGGGTATGTCACCAACCTTTCCTTTGTTCAGGCCTACGAGATGTATTACATTCGATGTCTTCGGCCTACAAATTAACCCCTTTCCCTATGCCTATATAATATATCTCAGGCCTACAAGATACATCACTTGCGCAGCATATACAATATAATTATCCCTTCTCTCTGGCGCTTTATAATAAATAATCCTCTCCCCCTCTTCCTTCTACCAGCCCTATAAAAAACATAACAGGAAGCCTACAAGATTAGTCTCCCCTACTTTGACCTCGTCTCTCCACCTACATTATGTCACAGTCGTTCCTCAGGCCTACAAGGTACATTAACCCTCCGTCCCCAGCCTAAATAAAACTACATGAAAGACCTCATCAACTTGGCTTGCCGGAGCGAGAATGACCAATAACAAAGTTTAGCTATTTCCTTAATCACTGGCGAATCTCCTTTGAAAAATGTTTCTAATTTCGTTGTCCAAATGAGGTGGAGATGGAGGAGGTGGAAGTGGAGGAGGTGGAGGTGGAGATGGAGGAGGTGGAAGTGGAGGAGGTGGAGGTGGAGATGGAGGAGGTGGAAGTGGAGATGGTGGTGAAGGTGGAGGAGGTGGAAGTGGAGATGATGGTGGAGGTGGAGGAGGTGGAAGTGGAGGAGGGGGAGGTGGAGATGGAGGAGGTGGAAGTGGAGGAGGTGGAGATGGAGATGGAGGAGGTGGAAGTGGAATGGAGGAGGTGGAGGTAGAGGTGGAGATGGAGGAGGTGGAAAAGGTGCAAGGATAAGAAACAGATGGAAGGAAACAGCCGAATAGGTAGTAAAGGGGGAAAGAGCAAGAAGAGGAAAAGGAGGACGAGGAGAAACTCGTGTAAAACTAAGCTAACAAAATATTCAGAGGAACTTTTAGCCTTGTCTCTGAGATTAATGGTAGTGCATCACTTTCTTTGATGGCTTCCTTCTTAACTTTTACTGTATTATTTTGAGCTACAACATTCTCATTATTATGTAGTAACTGTCTTGTTGCAATTAATACTGCAACTGATCTTAGATAAGGATCATAAATGAAGGCTGCAATGAGTTTGGTATACACAGTTATATATATATATATAATATTTATAAATTTTATTATATATATATAATAATATTTTTATATAATATTATTATTTTTATATATATATTATATATATTTATATATATTATATATATATTTTAATAAATGTCGTGCCGAATAGGCAAATTTGCGATCTTGGCTTAAATAGCAACGCTTTATCTTGCCATATAGGACAAGTGAAAATTTTTTGTATGCAATAATTTCGTCAAAATCATTCTGAACCTAACGAAAAAAATATTTTCCCCTGTGTTTGTCTAGTATTAAATTACTGTAAACAAATCTAAAATATATTTAGGTTGGGTTAGGCTAAAATAAATTGCTCTGTTATAGTAAGGTTAGGTAAGTTTTCTAAATTCTTTTGGTGCAAAATTCAAAATTTTTACATTAATGAAAATATATATCTTTAAACGTATAAGAGAAATTTTAGAAAGGACTTAATTTTAAATGATTTCTTGTTAATTGACCCAGTTTTACATATTCGGCACGACATATATATATTTTATATATACAATGTATATATATATATATATATTATATATAATATATATATATATATATATTATATATATATATTTATATATATATATATTATATAAATATATATATATATATATATATATATATATTATATATATATATATATGTGTGCCGAATAGGCAAATTGCGATCTTGGTTAAATACAACGCTCATCTGCATATAGGACAAGTGAAAATTGTGTATGCAATAATTTCGCCAAAATCATTCTGAACCTAACGAAAAAAATATATTTGATTGTTTTTGTTAGTACTAAATTATTGTAAAGTATTAAAATATATTAGTTGGGTTAGCTAAAATAAATTACTCTTGTTATAATAAGTTAGGTAAGTTTTCTAAAATTCTTTTTGGGGCAAAATTTAAAAATTTTCAATAAAATTAATGAAAAAATATATCTTTAAACGTATAAGAGAAAAATTTCTAAGGGCTTTAAATTTTAATGAGTTCTTGTTAATGGACCAGTTTTCATTATTCGGCACGACAATATATATTATTTATTTATAATATATATTATATTATATTATATTATATAATATATATATATTATATAATATATTATAATATTAATAATATATATATTATATAAAATTTATATATATATATATAATATATATATATATATATATACACATATATATATATAATATATAATATATATATATATATATATATATAATAATATATATATATATAAAATATATATATTATATATACATATATATAACATATATATATAAATATATATATATATATAATATATATATTATATATATATATATATTATATAATATATTTATAATATATAAAATATATAAATAATAATATATATATATTAAAACTCGGGCGGCACACCCAGTGAAACCCTTTCCCGCTATTTCATTCTCCTGCGATATGTTCCTGGCCTCACGAACGAAACTATATCAAGCGCCCCTAAAGTGATATGGTCGACACTGCACGCTCCTACCTTGCCTGCCTTTGGGAATTTTCCCCCCCCTATCTATTGCTGATTTGCTACATTGCATAACTCCCATAGAATGAGAGTTCGAAATATCCCGAACCAAAATTTTTCCCTCCCTACACAACACACACACCACACCACACACACACACACACACACCACACACACACACACAACCCCACACACACACCACACCACCCCACCATACACACACACACACACAACCCAAACCATAACACAGTAAGCTACAAGGGAGGGGAGAAACAGGAAGGCCGGACGAATAAGGGCCCAAACTACAAGAAAGGGGATACACAGGAATGAGGAATACCTGAACGGGGTTCAGTGGGACAGAGAACTGGCAGGGGAACCAGTTAATGAGATGAGGAATAGAGCAACAAAATCAAGGAGGCTGAGGAGAGGTTTTGTACCCCCGGGGAAAAAAAAAACCCCCCCCCGGGGGGAAAAAACCCCCAACAAACCCCAAAATTTTGGGGGAAAGGGGGCCCCCTACCCCCCTTTTAAAAAAACCCTCCCCCCTTTCCGGGGCCCCAAAACCCTTTGAAAGATTGAAAAAAAAACCCCCCCAAAAAAAAAAACCCCCCCAAAAAACCCCCAAACAAAAAAAAAAAACAACAAAAAAAAAAACAAAGGGAAAAAAAAACCCCAAAAAAACAAAACCAAAAAAAAAACCCCAAAAAAAAAAAAAAAATTTTTTTTAAAATTTTTCAAAAAAAAAAGGGGGAAAAAAAAAGGGGGGGGGGAAAAAGGGGACCCAAAAAAAAAGGGGGGGGGGAAAAAGCCCCCCCGGGGGAAAAAAAAAAATTAAAATTTTAATTCCCCCCCCCCCCAAAAAAAAAAAAACCCCCCCCCCAAAAACCCCCCCCCCAAACCCCCCCCCCCCCCCCCCCAAAAAATTTTTTTCCCCCCCCCTTTTTTTTTTTTTTTTTCCCCCTTTTTTTTTTTCCCCCCCCCCCTTTTTTTCCCCCCCCCCTTTTTTCCCCAAAAAAAACCCAATTTCCCCCCAACCTTTTTTTTTTTCCCCTCCCCCCCCCCCCCCCCCCCCCCCCCCCC